AAAAATAATGTGCTGTCTCAGAACCATATCAGGAAATAACAGATGACCAAAACCCAGTGGTGATGAAGGAAGAAGTTTAAGCTACTCTGAAAACATTCACAGAAAATAAAACCCCAGAAATGATGGAATACCATTCAAAGTTTTTCAACAAACAGATGCAGCTCCAGATGTGCTTACCAGTCTATGCCAACAAATTTGGAAGATATCTACCCAACCAACTGATGGGAAGAGATCCATATTTATCCTCATTCCCCAAAAGGTGATCCAGAAGAATGTGGAAATTAAAAAAAATTAACAACAATTTTTAAAAACAAAAAAAACCCTAAAAGAATGAGAAAATTATTGAACAACACCATTAATATCAAATGCAAGTAAAATCCTGTGGAATATTATCCAAAAATAGTACATAGACAACTTTGATAAATGCAAGCCAGATTTAGAAGAGGCCATGACATCAGGGATATCATTGCAATTGTCAGGTAGATCTTGACTGAGAGCAGAGAATACCAGATAGATGATTATTTGTGTCTTATTGATTACTCTATGGCATTTGAGTATATAGATTATAGCAAGTTATGGTTAATGTTGAGAAGAATGGGAATCTCATCACACTTAATCATTCTCAGGCAAAACCCAGACCAAGAAGCTATCATCCACAGAGTGAGGGAACACTGCATGGTTTAAAATCAAGAAAGATGTGCAACAGGACTGTATCCTATCTCTTCATTGATTAATCTGTATTCTAAAATCATTCAAGAAGCTTGACTTTATGAAGAAGACTGTGACATCAGGATTAGTGGAAGACTCACCAGCAACTTGTGTTATGCATTCTTGCTTGCTGAAAATGAATTGGACTTGAAATGCTTGCTGCAGAAAATCAAAGACAACAGACTTTTATATGTATTACATCTCAGAATCAAGAAGACAAGATCTCTCACCAATAGGTGAGAAGAGGAAAGAAAAGTGATGTTGTCAATTATTTCATCTTGCTTGGCAACAGCAGTCAAGAAATCAAAATACATATTGCATTGGGTAAATCTGTTGTCAAGAACCTCTCCAAGGGGTTAAAGAACAATGATGTCAGTTTAAAGTTTAAAGTGCATCTGATTCAAGTCATGATCTTTTCAATCATTTGTTACATGTCTAAATGTTGGCCAATGACTACAAATGACAAAAGAGGAATCAATGCTGTTGAGTGTTGGAGAAGTCTAATGAGTACCTCATGGACTGCCAAAAGAACAAACAAATATCTCTTGGAGAAAGTGCAGCCAGGGTGCTCTTCAGAAGCAAAGAACGGTGAAGATTCATCTTACGTATTTTACTCATGTTGTTAGGAGGTTAAAGTCTTTGGTAAAGGACACCATGCTTGGAAAGGTGAAGGAAAAAATTGTTGAAAGAGAAGAAGACCCTTAAAAGGATAGATTGACACAGTGACTTTAACAATGGGCTCAAGTATATCTGAGATTATGAGGATGAGCACAGCATGGGGCAAGGTTCAGATCCATTGTTCATAGGGTGTCTAAGAGAGACTCATAGTAGACTTGAAGGCACCTAGCAACTACAATATTATTATTACACCCATGACACATCAGTCAGTTTGTTATATTGTGGTGGCTTGTGCATTACTATGACATTGGACACTTATTGTTGTTAGGTGCTATTGAGTGGAGTATAACTCACAGCACGATACATCTCTTGATCTCCTGATTGGTGGTATCAAGTGTATTGATTGTGGATCCAAGTAAGAGTAAATAATTGACAATTTGTCTTTCCTCCATCTGTCATGATGCTGCCTATTGATCTAGTGGTGAGGATTTTTGTTTTCTTGATGTCGAAATGCAATCCATATTGAAGGCTGTATTCTTTGATCTTCTACAACAAGTGCCTCAAGTCCTCCTCATTTTCAGCAAGCAAGGTGGTGCATAATGTAAGATATTGATGATTTCCCCTCTTATTCTGATGCACATACTTCTTCATAGAATACAGCTTCTTGACTAATTTGCTCAGCCTATAGAGTGAATAGATATGGCAAAAGGACACAGCCCTTATGTGTAGGAGATTCTATTCTTTTTTCATTTTAAACCATATATTGTTTCCACAACAGACTCTTGGTCCAGGTATAGGTTTCACATGAGCACAGTTAATGAGCACCAGCCTATGCCAGGAAATTTGGAGGACAGCTTCCTGGCCGACTAATGGCAACAATCTGTATTTGTTTCCATTCTCAAAAAAGATGAAAATATAGAATAATATCATATGCAAGAAAAGTACTGCTGAAGATCATTAAAAAATGGCCCCTGTGCCTAAGAAGCTGTTGATGATGGCTGGAATTGATGACTGTTACACCTCAGCCAGGGGCTGCACAGCTACCCTGGGCAACTTTGCTAAGGCCACCTTTGATGCCATCTCAAAGACCTACAGCTATCTGACCCCAGATCTCTGGAAAGAGACGGTGTTCACGAAGTCTCCCTACCAGGAATTCACAGATCATCTTGTAAAGACTCACACCAGAGTCTCCGTGCAGAGGACTCAGGCTCCAGCTGTGGCCACCACCTAGTGGATTTTCTATAACAAATAAAGTGAATTATGTTCTTAAAAAAAAATGGCTAGAACAGTACATAGACAGCACTTCTAGAAGTTCAAGCTGGGTTTAGTTAGAAGAGGCCTCATCATCAACAAATGAATTAATAGAGAAACCCTGGTATATTCACACAATGGAATACTATGCTTCATTGAAAAGCAAGGAACTCATGAAATATTTCACAAAACTGGTTACCCTGGAGGACTTTATGGTGAGTGAAGTACCTTAGCCACAGAAGGACAAATATTGCATAGTGCCACTGTTGTGAAGAGGGTCTGACATTGGAGTTGGGGGACACTGAGGGGAGATAAATAATGTATACTGCATTGAAACAGATGAGTGAGAGAACTGTTTAGGAGGAATTTATGATTAGGTATTGTCATGACAGGAGTCCAGAATGAAAGCTGCATAGTGGAGTGGACTGGGAGGGGGGTGGGATTGTATAACTATCTATCTATCTATCTATCTATCTATCTATCTATCTATCTATCTATCATCTATCTATCTATCTATCTATATCTATCTATCTATCTATATCTATTTTTACTTTTCAAAGAGGAAAACAAACTGGGGGGAGGAATGGGCAGGAAGGAAAGTGTGCAACAATGAATGAATGGAAATCCAAAACTTTAATTAAAATAAAAAAAGAAGTAAATCTAAAAAATTTTTTAAAAAAGTCATTCATAGCCAAACCCCCTCCCCCTACAAAAAAAAGAAGAGGCCTCATTGCTGATGTTAGATGCATCCTGGCTGAAACCAAAGACACTAGAAGAATATCTATTTGTACTTTCTTCACTATAGAAAGGCATTTGACTAGGTGGATCATAACAATTTATGACTAAAATGAAGACTGAGAATCCCAGAACACGTAATCCTACTCATGTGAACTCTCATATGAAACCTAAACCTATTGAAAGCTATGTGGACAGGTTTCAATGTGAGCAGCCAGTCTAAGGCAGACTAGGAAGAAAAGCCTGATAATCTATTTCTGAAAATTGTTGTTGTTAGTGTTGACTGCCTTCGGTTGAGCACAACTCATAGTGACCCTATGAACAAAAAGGCTTGGAGCCTCCTTTTTTTCCCCCTATAAAGTGCAGGAAGATGAGCTTCTAAGTTGGAAGGCCCTAGAAAATAGCCCCAACATTTGAACTCAAGCATACGAACGATTATGAAGATGACACAGGTCCAGGAAGCTCCATGAGTCAGAGTCAACTCCACAGCAGCTTGTTGTTGACTGCCTTTCAGTTGAGCACGACTCATAGTGATCCTATGAACAAAAGGCCTGTAGCCCCTCTATCGACATTTATCGAAGGTCATAGAGTTTCTCGAGGCATGTTACTTAGGCAGTGGATGCCACTCCTGCTTCCAAACCTGTCATAGTATGTTATTGTTATTTGCCATTTAGTTGCCTGCGATGTATAGCGACCCTATGTTTAGCACCTCCGAACCCTTCCCTGTCCTGAACCAGTCTCACTAATTCCGACACACCAACCCCCATTGCTCCAGTTAATGTATCAATCCATCTCATCCAGGGTCTTCCTCTCCTGTGCTGTCTGTCCACCCTCCGAACATGATGTCCTTCTCGTGGCCACGTGCCCAAAGTAAGTGAGGCAGAGCTTCAAAATCCTAGCCTCTAAGGAGAGACTTGGAGCAACAATGTCAGTCTACTACTAAGGTGCGCCTAATCCAGGCCATGGTCTTCTCAATTACTTATTATACTTCAGAGAGTTGGACAATGACTAAGGATGCCCTCGAGTTGTGGTGCTGGAGAAGAGTCTTGAACATATCATGGACTGCCAAGAAAACAAATAGATGAGGGTGAAACACACGGCGGCTCACATCACCAATTATTACATTAGTGTTGGAGTATATTTAAAAAGTCATGATGCCATAAGCCTTGCAAAGGGGACCTATGAAGTACGGAGGCAGTTCCACAATCTGATATGAAAGCATTGTGGTGTCTTATTAGAGAAAACCCAACCATCATTTTGTATAATTTTTATAATTTTATTTTATGGACAAGGACGCTGAAGCCAGAAACAATAAGTGACTTCATAATGGTCATAGAGAAAATTGGTTAAAAAGTCAGGATCCTGGGATCAGGGCAATGCTCCTTTCTGTAAGGCTAGCCTCTCAGCCGCCCCAGGCTCTGCTCTGCCATGTCCCTATTTCACTCTGATGTGCCAATTTGTACTCCTCTTTTACACCTGAGGTGTCACTTCAAATAGATGAGCCAGAGAAGGGAATGAGTAAAGGTTCTGGCAAAGACTGGGCCAGTACAGCCACCCTCGTCACCATGGTAACCCAGCTGGGTTGGCGAGGACTCGCTCCATCCGTGCCTCCGCCCATTCACGCACGGATGTGACACGTGCGGCGGGGTCACGTGTTGTTGTTGGACCGTGAGAGCTGCTTCCGGGTCAATGCAGGACACTTGGCTCCGGCGGTCGGAGTGGGGGCCGAGGTGAAGCGGAGCCGGGCCGGGGCCGGCTGGGACCAGGCCGGAGGCTGAGTGGCGGCGACGGCGGAGGCCGGGAGGGGGGAGGAGAGGAACAGCCGGAGGAGCCGCCGCAGCAGCTCCCCCGCCTCCCGGGCTGAGGGGTGAGTGGAGCCCAGGCCTGCCGGCTGTGCCGGTTCTCGAGGCCCCAGGCTCTCCCCTCGGAGCTCAGGCGGGGAAGGCCGCTCCAGCTAAGGCGCAGTGTGACGAAGCCCGGGGGAAACCCGGAGCTCGAGGGTGTCTGCCCGAGGCAGCTGGAGGGTCGGGCATCCTGCCCTGGGGTCTGGCCTGGGCCTGATCCGGGAGGTGGCGGAGCGGGTGTCCCTGGGGAAGGAGGCAGAGGCTGGTCCAGAGCATGGAGAAGCGGGGGATGAGGAGCTTGCCAGAGTTTCTGGGACAGCCAAGGTCTCTCAGTCTGCTTAAGGGACGTGGGGGATGAGAAGATGTCCTCAAGCTGAGATGGGCACGTGCCCAGAACTCCTGGAGACCTAGGAACCTTGTCTCTGGACCATTGAATCAACCCTGGGCAAGGGTCTTCAAGGCCAGTTGGACAAAAGCGGGGAGGGGAACTTACCTAGGCTTCTAAGACCGATTTCATCTAGGGGTTGGTATAAGGATAGGAGGGATGCAGTAGTTGAATCAGGGTTTTGGGGAGAATAGATTTGCCCCAACTCGGGACGTGCAGAGGGTGAAGGAGTTGGAATGAGATAGAAGCTAGGAAAAGGGTGCATGTCCTGGTATCTTTGAGAAGAATCAAAAGATCTGTGTGGCGCTTCTTTGAAAATGTATATAATAGTCCAAGTCTTCTAGGAAGACACTCGGATAATTAATGAAGGAAGAAGTCTTCAAACTACCATCTACAGAGACATAGCTAAAAGCTGTAACTAAGTAAAGTTTGCTGAGACAATTGAACTGTTTACAGTTTGTGAAGTTTGGCAGGGCTCTCTTGAAGGTTGCTAAGCTACAGGGAACTTGTAGGCAGCTACCTAGTTAGGGCTGGGGAGGCGGGGGTGGCAAGCTAGCAATCCTTTCTGGCCAAAATACAGGCATAGCAGGATCTTGTCCCAGCACCCTCTCCTGCCAAATTGATTTTCAAGGGTTCAAGTAAGAGACTGTGCAGGTGCTAAGAACTGGTGAAAAGAATTCAGCTTCTCTATCCTGAGGCCCTAGACCTGTATCTCTAGGGGAGTAGCTTTCCAGTATTTTCTTCTCTCTTGCCCCACATAAGTACACGTTTCGTTATGATCTAGTACATACCTATACATAACAATTAAACAAAATAATATATACCCTTATTAAATGTGATGTACTGTGATAATTTTCCATTGTAGTCCATTCTTTTCCATTAACCAAAACTGACCAAGATGCACTCTTTTATTGATTTTTGGGTTACAACTTGCTATTTGAAAAACACTGTCTCCAAGACACATTTATTTGGCTTCAATTAGTGTTCTCATGTTGCAGGTTTCTAGAGAACAAAAATGGGTGAGTCAGAAGAGGCAGTTTGTTTGTGTCAGTGGTGGGAGTTGGAGAGCCAGGTACCTAAATTGTTCAGATGTTTAGGACATGTATACTTGGCCCTTTATGTTTCAATGTACCATAATCTTACTCTTTGATATTTTAATACTGCCTAATTTGACAAAATCTTGAAAATGTATGTGTTTGAATTTATTCTAGCTTTTGTTATGTCGACACATATCAGATGCCTATTTTGTTTATTTGATCTATCACTACAAGATAGGGTTGTCTTTTTTTTAATATTCCAAAGTTATAAAAACACTGATTTGCTCTTCTCATATTTAAACCATCTCAATCCTAAGCTCTTTAATGGCTCCAGTAATTTTTATATGATGGCTATTTTGTTGTTTTTGTATTTGCTGTGTGACTAAGCACAGAATAGAGCAGGGTTTAGGTCTGTTGTACATAGGGTCACTATGAGTTGCAGGCAACTCAACAGCACAAAACAACATGATTGATGTAGTGATTGTAGTGATTAAGTGTAGGATTCGAGACTTTATACTTAATCATAAATTTAAGTATAACTTTGAGCCAGCTAACAACTTCTTAGTTCCTCCCGTGGAAATGCTGCTTTCTTCTGTCTACAAAACAGTTGAAGTCTTTAGATGTGTAGTATTATGGTAAAAGTTAATGAATGTTGCTATGAAAAATGACAGAGCTTCATATACTGCTATGTTTAAAGTCCTTTTAAAAGCTGCTGGGTAGCTATTGCTTCATGGAGTTGAATGTCAAGTGATGTGCCTAGTTATCAATGGATATATTTATTATGGATATATATCAAAGACTGTCCTAATAGTGCTGCTCGGTTTTTGAGAATTAGTTCATACTGTCGGGAATATGGAATTTAAAAACAAGCCATAAGGGGATGAAATGTTGTTGTTGTTATGTGCCATCGAGTCGTTTGCGACTCATAGCCACCCTATGCACAACAGCCCTAAACCCTGCTCTATCCTGCGCCAACCGCACTGCCTCTGACACACCCATCCCAATTACCCCAGTCACCGAATCAATCCATCTCATAGAGGGTCTTCCCCTCCTGCACTGTCCCTCCACCTTCCCAAGCATGATGTCCCTCTCCAAGGACCCGTCCCTCCTGACAACATGTCTAAAGTATGTCAGACGAAGCCCCAGAATCCTTGCCTCCAAGGAGTAGCTTGGTATAATCCTCTCCAAGATGAATCTGTTTGTTTTCCTGGCAGTCCATGGTACATTCAGCACCCTTCTCCAGCACCACAGCTCAAAGGCATCCACTCTCCTTCTGTCCTCCCTAGTTATTGTCCACCTCTCTGATGCATAACAAGCGATTGCAAATACCATGGCCTGTATCAGGCGCACCTTAGTCTCCAGAGAGACACTGTTGCTCCTGAGTACTTTAGAGAGGTCCCTAACAGCAGACTTTCCCATTGCGATATGCTTTTTGATTTCCTGACTGCTGGTGCCAAGAGTGTTGACTGTGGAGCCGAGCAAACTGAAGCTGTGAACACTCTCAATCTCTTCATCATCCATCCTGACGCTGCCAATTGGTCCAGTGGTGAGCATCTTTGTCTTCTTGACATTGAGCCTCAGTCCATACTGAAGGCTGCAGTCCTTGACCCTTCGCAGCAAGTGCATGAGGTCCTCCTCAGTTTCAGCAAGCAGGGTTGTGTCATCTGCATAACGCAGATTGTTAATAGATCTTCCACCAATCCTGATGCCACAATTCTCCTCATAGAGCCCAGCCTCTAGGATAATCTGCTCTGCATACATGTTGAAAAGGTATGGAGACAGGATGCATGCCTGGCGTACACCCTTCCCAATTTTGAACCATGCAGTGTTACCCTGCTCTGTTCTGACTACTGCCTCTTGGTCCAAGTATAGGTTTCGTATTAGCACAATTAAATGTTCTGGGATTCCCATTCTTCTCAGAATCAGCCACAGTTTGTTATGATCCACACAGTCAAATGCCTTTGCATAATCAATGAAACACAGATAGACATTCTTCTGGTATTCTCTGCTTTCAGCCAAGATCCATCTAACATCAGCAACAATATCCCTAGTACCACGACCCCTTCTAAACCCAGCCTGGACTTCCGGCTGCCAGAAATTTCGGGGATGAAATGCATATATGTAAATAGTGAGGTCATACTGTAGTTTGGATAGCCATCTCATGAAAGGATCCTCTAATTTTTTTTTTAAAAAAAAAGAAGATATATATTTCTTTGACTATATATCATGGTTTTTTATGTCAGGTGCTTTGTTAACATGTTAACATCTTTTAAAACTATCTCTTAAGTAAATATTTTAAATACTTAATAAAAAAATTAAAAAATAGCTTTAAAGAAAACTTTAAAGAAAAGGATTCTCTTGTTGTGGTAGGTATTTAGAATTTGAAAGAAGATTTAATTAATTGATTTTTTTCCCCTGGGAATAATTTGTACCTGCTAATAAACAGTTGTAGAGACTTTACTCTGGGTGATTGTGTCTGTGTTGTTTTTATTTAAGTTCTCGTTTCTTAAGTATGTCCACCTATAGCAAGCTCTTTTCTCCTTTTAATTTTGTTTTCACACTTGTCCTTGTAAAGCAGATACTTACACAGTTAGAATTTTGAGGAAAATAAGATTGTTTAGCTCTAGATAATGTTCTCTGATGCATAGCAAGCAGTTGCAAAGACCGTGGCCTGGATCAGGTGCATCTTAGTCTCTAGACTGACATTGTTGCTCTTTAGCACTTTGGAAAGGTCTCTGACAGCAGATTTCCCCAATGTGATTTATCTTTTGATTTCCTGACTGCTCGTGCTGAGAGTTCTGATTGTGGATCCAGGCAACTTGGAATTGCTAACAACCTCAGTCTGTTTTCCATCTATCATAGTGCTGCCATTTGGTCGAGTGGTGAGAATCTTTGTTTTCTTGATATTGATCTTCAATCCATATTGAAGACTGCAGTCCTTGACCTTCTGCAGCAAACACTTCAGGTCCTTCTCAGTTTTACCAAGCAAGGTTGTGTCATCTGCATATCACAGGTTGTTGATGAATCTTCCTCCAATCCAGATGTCACACTCCTCATAAAGTCCAGCCTCCTGAATGATCTGTTCCACAAAGAGATTGAAAAGGTATGGAGACAAGACACATCCCTGATGCCCTCTCTTCCTGATTTTGCTATGCATCAGAGAGCTGGACAGTGACTAAGGATGACAGGAGAATTGATAACCTTTGAGTTGTGGTGCTGAAGAGGAGTATTGAACATATTATAGACTTCCAGGAGAATAAATAGGTCTATCTTGGAGATGGTGAAACCAAGTTTTTCCTCAGAGGCAAGGATTTTCATGCTCCGTGTCACATGGTTTGGGCACACGTCCAGGAGGGAGCAGTCCTTGGAGAAGGACATCATGCTTGAAAGGGTGGAGGGACAGACAGCACAGGAGAGGAAAATCCTGGGTGAGATGGATTGACACAGTACCTGGAGCAGTGGGGTTAGGTGTGTTGGAGTCAGTGAGACTGGCTTAGGGTGGGGCAGGATTCAGAGCTATTGTACACAGGGTCACTGTGATTTGAAGGTGACTTGATGGCACATGACTATAACAGCAAATAGTGTTCACGTATGCACACAT